TGATGGCATTCATTATGAAGACATTGCCAAGCTGCCCACAAAATCCATGGAGGTTCTATGTAAGGCCTACAATGACAGCATCTGTAATGGTACCATCTGAGAAACCTGGCTGCCTAGCTATATGATTCTACTAGAAAAACCGGGAAAAGATGCCACACACATAAATGGCTATAGAATCATTACAATGCAGAACACATTAAGCAAAACACTGGAAAAGATAATAGTGAGAAGACTGGCAAGCCATGTTGAAATACATCAGCTGCTACCCTCCACACTTGGAGGCTACAGACAAAATACAGAGATATGGCGTAATGATGCCGTCTTTGCACATGACACATTTGAAGGTTTTCAAGCTAGATTTGAAACATATGCAGTCGCCATAGATCTGAAAGATGTATATAACAAAGTTCCCTTCCACCAACTAATGTGTTAGTTAATTGAACTCAACACCCCCCACATCTCATTCGATGGATATCTGCCGCACTTTTCCAGAGGAAGGTCGTGCTTCGATGTGGTAGTTGGTCTTCTGAGCCGATAAAAATACACCTTGGTTTGCCACAGGGTTCTCCATTGTCTCCTATCCTCTTCAACATTTACACAGTCAAGATCACAGGACAACAACTGAGTGGCAGAGAAAGAACTCTATCATATGTGGATGATATTCTCGTGTACCGACAGGGCAAGAACAGAGATGACATTGTTTCGGATTTACAACAAGAATTAGATTGCATATCATCCTGGTGCAATACCTCAGGGGCAACAATTAATCCATCAAAAGCGACAGTCACCTGGTTCTCATTAAATAATAACTTTTCTAAAACACAAATGCCGATAGTAAAACTCTGGTGCTGATGTTGAGAGACCTCGGTATAACAGTTGACAGATGCTTAGCATTTAAAAAACATGTAGACCACATTATAACAAATTCAAGAAAGGTCTCTCCACAATAATAGTTATGGGAGATGCAAACTCTGAGCAATGGCTACTTGTAATGTTGTATCGTGCATTAGTTCTTTCCCCCACTGAATATGCTTTGGCCATCATGACATGCAGCAACACACAAATGAACACACTGGAAAAATTGAAAACGAGGCAATGCGCATTATTCTTGGATGCACTAGAGACACCTCTTGAAAATCCATGTGACACCTCTTGGACTTTCCCACAATGGATAACAGAATCAAGCTATGCAGGGCTGTTGCTTTTCTCAAAGTGAAATCAGACAATCGACACCCACTTTATAAGGAATTATTCAAGCAAAAAAAGAGTAGACTCAAACGAGGCAAATCTTGGATGGGTCGGGCTGAGGATGCCATCGAACATGTTTGCTGCCTTACTGACATTAATTTTGGAAATGAATGGATAATTATGCCTCTCTCTCCAAACATTAATATTACAGTCCATATTACACATGATGGAAGCTGTTGAGAGCAGATTCCTGGTATTGTTGACACTTTATTTAGAATGCTGATTGACGAAAACACAGATGAAGGTGATGCTGTAGTTTTCACAGATGGGTCGGTAATTAGGGGCAAGCGAAGTGCATGGGCCTTCACAGTAAGCTCAAGGGGGAAAACCATTAAGGAGATGAATGGCGCCTTTGCTGTTACAACTAGTAGCCTTACAATGGAAACTATGGCATGGCTGTAACAAGGGCTTTAGCATGGCCTGGTACTCAAAAGTTCACACCATATGCTTTCTTAGTGACTCGATGAATAGGCTTAAAAAAATCTAAGCTGGATTTATCAGGCAAGAATAGATTGAAATACTAAGAACTTCATGAATATCTGTCCTAACCTTCATCTTTGTGCCAGGTCATGCGGGTGTTCAAGAGAGCGAGCGTGCAGACTATCTTGCTGACACTGCAGTTTCTATGGCTGGCCCAGCACTGGACAGAAGTGATATTATCAATGCTATGCGCTGCACTTATCGTACCGAGGAGCACGCCAAAGGACATGACTCCATATCCCTGTCTAGACTGATGGACATGGGGGTGCAGCCTGGAGCTGCAAGAAATGAACATTTCACTAAGAGGACAAGATGTTTCATTAACCAACACAGAACAGGCATCATCAGTGGTTTTACACTTGTGGAGCTTTTTAGGAGGAGATCAGAGCACCTATAGATCTGTCCGGAGTGCTATGATGATAATCCTTTCTAATCACTAGGAGCTTTTAAGCTGCAATAACCCCGAGAGCTTCTCCTATCTTGGACAGGTCAAGGAACGTGAGCCAGACAAATAAAGACACTAAGGATTTAGGGCCACATGGCTAGTACTCTCACCACAGACTGTGCAGGTCAGGATTTGTTTTCCCCTGACAGTAAAAACTCACAACCTTACCAAGGATTCAAACCTACCAAGGATTCAAACCTGAGTCTTCCCACATCCTGAAATTTTTTTCAATTTACATATTATGCACACACACACACATAAAACGAAACTAAGAGAGTTACTTCTCTTTCTTGTCCATCTAATAATAATGTGTTTTACTGGCTAAGTTTTCAGACTTTATGCCAACATTTATAAATAAGTGTTAGGCATTTTGTGAACCATTATAGCCTAGCGGCTAAATACTTGGCTGCTGGCCTAAAGGTCTGGGGTTTTAACCTGCCTCAAAGCAATTTTTTTAAAAAATTGACTTGGCTTCCAGGTATACCCAGCATAAAATTGGTACCAGGTAATGTCCTGGGAAAAAAAGCAACTGTCATAATGTTGACCATACGATCTATCCAGTACCAATTGTTCCATACAAATATAGATATAGTGCTACAAGACTGATTTGCCAAGGGTTTGAAAAAGGTTCTTTCTTTAATTTTTATGTTAGGCATTGTGCTCTGTGTATAATCTAGAATGTTGTGTCTATTGCACAATGTTTAAACACGCTTAAAAAAGTATTGAATACACACATGTTCAAATGTGCATCCTGAGAACAACAGTAAAATAGGATTATAAAAATAAAATTAAGATCTTTAGATGTGAGAGCTTATTAGAAAGACTAATATAATAAAATAGATCTCATAATTTAATAGAATATATCACAAATATGATAATGATAAGGTAAGTTATATTACCACTAAACATTCTACAACCTTATAGAAATACATTAAAAAATGCTTATAAATGTCTTCCAGCTAAAAAAAAATGAGTAAAAGTAAACAGTTTTTGCATTAGGTTTAGATCTGAAAAAAGTTATGTAAAATTTCTTTTACCATTATCAAACTATACTTTTGCATGTACAGACAATTAAACCATAGTTTAAAATGCATTTAGTTTAAAGGACATTTGTAGTCCAATTTAAAGTTGAGATCTCATCTTCACATCATGATACTGTCAACTCATAAAACTGTTGTATGTAAAAAAAAAAAAAATATACAGTAGAAGTTTTTACATAAAGTTATTAATCCTGAAAGGTGGAGTAAACCTGTAAAAATATCACTAGCAAGATAAAAAATTAAGAGAAGATGATATTTACATGCCAGTAGTTTCCCTGGTATCTTCCAGAGCCCTAATGTAGGGGTGGGGGAATAGATCCATCTAACAAGCATGTAGTAAAAGTCGACTAATTAAAGGTGTTTCTTTCTAAGTCAATGTCCATCTGCCTTGTAGCTTATCAAACCGTGACTAAGTAGAAATTTATTGAAAAGTTTATTTTAAAACAATTGTTCAAATACTAATTACAAACTTGTACTTATAGCTTAGCATTACACAGTTCTCACAGGCAACATAAGTTAACAGAGGCAAGTTTACATGACAACAGGCAGTCAGTAATCACCTATGTGGAAGTATGTGAAGTGCTTGTCTGTTTCATGCATAAATATTACACACTGTGTCATCTGGCTATGCCAGTGTAAAACTCCTATTTATATGGGATAATCTCACAACATACAAATGTTCCTTAAAAAGTTACTGCATCTTATAATGTAGATAGGCCAACTTTTCCCCAACTTTTAAAAATACATGAGTGTCATGAAAAAGAATGGATTGTGTTGTCATGGCAACTGTCAAGTTCAGTTAGCTTTCTGAGTACCATGCGACTTTCCATATATTAGTTACTTAGTCCAAAGACTGCAAAAATTTCCTGACTCTTCTAACATAAGTGAACAAAGCAAACATAAACCAAATATTTGGTATGCTGTGCTATATGGCAGCCACAGTAATAAAGCAGTTCAGTCCAACTTATGCAGACAAAAGGACATGGTTGTGAACCTGCATTTGATCTGGTGAAACAGGTAATTACTTTGAATGTAGTCTTTTTGTTATTCAGTTACAAGGATTAACTTACTTGTTCCATTCAAATAAGCTTTTATTGTAGTATGCAGAAACTTAAGTGAATCAAATGAGAGTTATTATTCTTTGGACATGTGTGCAGAATGGGAGAGAACTGGCCACTATGCCAATTATGAAAGGCCAAGACCACAGGACATCCCAGGCTTCACTGGGAAGACAATATCCGATAGTCCCTGACTGACAGAGGACTCAAATGGAACAAAGCAAAAAAAAAACTATTTATACAGAAGTCTGGCGATCTTTCGGGGAAAACCTCTGCACCTCATGGTAGAAGAGGAGCGACTAAGTAAGTAAGTAAACAAAAGGCACCTGATGGGCAAAATATGCAGGGCAGAATTTGCACAATTTATTATTTGTGTCTTCTCTGTTTAAATTCATAGACAGAGTAAGTTGCTAAATTACCTCACTGCAACCAAACTGTAAGTTCAGCTTCTTTTGTCTTATAGTGATATAACTTTGATATGTTTGTGTGTGGACTGAATCTTTTTCTTCTTCTGCTTCTTCAGCATTCTGAGGATATGAGGGTCACTGCTGTATATATCACCCACCTTCATATATCTATGACTGATTTTATCTTTCAAGTTGGGACTCAAAACAGTGGCAACTTGAAGTTAAAACTTCCTGGAACAGAAAGAGTTAAAGTAATTATGAGCCAATGTAGAACAAAAGTTCATTTATCCTTTTCTTAAAATTGTGTCTGTTAAGTCTATAGTCAGCTTAATGAACAAAAATGGCTCTTTGATGATTTGCTTGACTTCTTGTATTCACTTCCCTTTAGAGATCGTTTCTTTCCCTTGTCTTTGATTTCAGCCTCCTCAATGGCAGACACAGAAGAACTTAATGAAGTTTTAGGTTCTGTATTTACATTATTCACCTGCAGAAAGGAAAAAACAAAGTTATTCAAAAAGGTTACTTGTAAGTTTTATTATTAGCATTTTTGAGGGAAATCCAAGTTTTTTTTTTTTAACTGCATGTTTAAATAATATTGGGGTGAGGGGGGGGGGGGGGGGGGGTGGGGTGGGGGGGTGGGGGGAATATGGGTAAGGCTCTTTTGTCTGTCTGTTCTAAATTTTTGTACACACTGGTCTTAAGTTCTCTGAAGTTCTTGATATATTCATTCCATCTTTTGTGTGATATTAATATCAATGTGATTTCTGTGATAGCTGGTACCATGGCATTTTGGTATATACACTTTTTATGCCCATTAATTCTTTTTTCAAATTCCATAATCCAAGTTCATGTGTTTGCACCATATAAGGTATAAGGTTTAAAGTTGAGAGGACCAGCTCTATTGCACAAGGTTCTATCTCATAGGTTAGTTGCATATCCTTTACATGACGTTGCAGAACCTGGCTGTTGTGTGGTTTTTTAAGGCAAATTTATGTCCAGTAGTTTGCGATTGCTTTCTGGATGGTCGGCTTTCTTGATACCACTGTCGAAACCAACGCAAGGTGCATGGCCCGCAGCTGGGATCGAACCCGGCATCCCGGCATTACAAAGCGTTCACATCAACTTAGCCACAGAGCTGACTGTTCTATCTCATAGTGCTCAGTTTCTTTCCACAGGATACCCAGTCTCTTTCCACAGGATGCCCAGTCTCTTTCCGCAGGATGCCCAGTCTCTTTCCACAGGATGCCCAGTCTCTTTCCACAGGATGTCCCGTCTCTTTCCACAGGATGCCCAGTCTCTTTCCACAGGATGCCCAGTCTCTTTCCACAGGATGCCCAGTCTCTTTCCACAGGATGCCCAGTCTCTTTCCACAGGATGCCCAGTCTCTTTCCACAGGATGCCCAGTCTCTTTCCACAGGATACCCAGTCTCTTTCCACAGGATGCCCAGTCTCTTTCCACAGGATGCCCAGTCTCTTTCCACAGGATACCCAGTCTCTTTCCACAGGATACCCAGTCTCTTTCCACAGGATGCCCAGTCTCTTTCCACAGGATACCCAGTCTCTTTCCACAGGATGCCCAGTCTCTTTCCACAGGATACCCAGTCGTCTGATGGAACATTGTACAAACTATGCAGCTCTAGCAACAGCACACAGATATTTATGTAAAAATTGCACGTGAATCACATGATCAAGTTAATTAAATAAACCCATGAATATCAGAGCATGATGCTAATGGTTCAACCATTCAGCCATTGCAACTCCCTCACACAGTGTGGAGCAGGACTGGCGGCCTTGAGGCCAAAATGGCCCACAGAGGTCTAGCAAGTTGCCCGTGGATAACTGCAGGTTGTTTATAACAATTATATTTCAACATTAGAGGTCCTGAGTAAATTTAGTTGAATAGCCCTGGTGTAGTGTATAGATTGCATACAGGGGGTCAGACTTGTGCTGAGTTAAAGAAATCTAATAATTAGGGGGCTGCATGGTCTCGAAGTATGGCATCCAGGTTCAAACCCTGGTAAAGGCTCGGATTTTTCATGTGGACTCCTAGTAATTTCCTCTTGTCTCTGGATAGTAAGACTGAACACCCGTGTGTATTGTTGCGCATGTAAAAAATACCATTGGCAGTTGGAAATAAAAAAGAGTAGCCTAAAGGTGCTGCCCAGGTAAAATTTTGAGTTGAAAATCTACTGAAATTATTTCAGGATCCTCACTGGTGCAACAGAGTTCATGCACTGCGCTAAAATTCTTCAGACTCAGGCTTGAGTTAAAAGTAGAACGGAGCACTTATGGGTTTTCACCCATTCGTCATGATGTTATCCGTCAACAAAACTAAACAACACCAATGAAGTACAATTAACAATCAATAAATACAAATACACAGACTAGAATAATGCTTCGCTGTGTAAAATTAAATGAATATTTAAGGTAAATGTGAATGTTAAATTGGATTGAATTTATGCTAGTATTTAAGAAAACAATTCAATCTAAAAATATTTCTATTTGTTCATGTATGTGATCGGTATATATTCACTAACTTGTAATGCTTACAGCATATTTAGCAGTAACTGTATCGACTTATCACAAAAAATTACAGACAGGAGGTAAGTGCAGGATGTAACAAATTTCTGACATTTGTTACACAAATGGAAAGGCATGGCAGCATTTGTTAACTACAAAAACCAAAGTACAGCAAACCCTATTAATAGAAACAGAATACGGCAGAGGGATACACATCTTGGCATGCACATGATTTGATTACAGACAAAATAATCTATGGCCATTTGAAAAGTGATGCACACTGACTGTTACTTACACTAGCATTTGAAAGCTCTGTCCTGTTGTTCTGTGGGTTATTAATGTTATGATTACTAGAAATTTTACAATTAGTGTCTTTTTGACTCTTTAACAGATTAGTGTCAGTTTTCAGTTCAGTGTTGATGACTTGGTGCTTGATGACTGACTTGTCTTGCTGCGTTTTGTCGAGTTCTTGCTGGTCTGATTTATTTCTGGCTTGTTTTTCTTGACTCCTTTCTCCTGTTATGGACATTTGGTAATATTAGCACAATACAGTCAGTTTATACAACAACAAAGAACAGTTGGACTCAAACATTAAGGAAAGGTTTCACATTGATCATTGTACAATTTCTGATACCAAATTAAATCTCAATCTGGCAGGGTGCTATCTTAATTTTTTTTTTAAAGGACTGCAAATATTGGTGATCAACTGCCTACACAAAATGTGAGCTGCAGATAGTTGGTGACTAGCATACTTGCCTGATGGCTGTTGTGATGGCTATCTTCTTCTTTGGTTCTGTTCCACCTTTCAGCATCATTTTTTGAAGAGGCATCAGGTGAGAGCCTTCATACATGCTACATAGAAGCTGGTATTTACGGCCTTGGATATTCTATCTATCCTTGGGTGGTAGACCTCTGGTTCTGCTTTCATTATGTCTAAAGGACAGGGCTCTCTGTGGTGCACTGTCAGATGGTAGTCTTGACACATTTCCAGACCATTTAATCTGTTGTATCCTAATGTAGTTTAATATTGATTCCATTCCAGCTTATTTCCTGATGTCATGATTTCTGATTCTGTCTCTTCTAGTTACAGTTAGGATTTGACGTAGATAGTACGTTTATGTTGTTTTGATTTTTCCATGTTTGGCACTGATAACGCAGTGCTGGTAAAATATACTGTATGGAATAGTACTCCTGTTTATAAAGTAAATAAGTAAAGATCCCTTTACACGCCCTTAGGCGCATTGGGCATATGGTAAGAGCACCCATATTTTTACAGACCAATCGGCACTCGGTGGGTAATGTGGTCAGCATTACGCTGGACTCTTGTTTATGCTTATGTTTATTCAACAGATCAACATTATGGCACAAGGGTGTAACCCATAATGCTCCGTTCTACTTCTAACTCAAGCTGCATTCTGAAGAATCTCAGCGCAGTGCACGAACCCTGTTGCACAAGCAAGAATCCTGAAATACTTTGGGTAGATAGTGCTCTTTTGGTGTCCTTTGTTACATGTTTGTTCTGCAAAAACTGGTGACATTTGTTCAGTGACTTGATTTGCTTTATTATATCTGAGATCTATTTCTGCTTGGATTCTTACATTGAATGATATTATATTCCCTAGATACTTGAAGTTTTTTTTCTCACTTCAGTTGTTGGTTTTCTAAGCATATCTTGACTGATTCTTCTGTTCTTGAAATTGAAATAATGTGTTTTCCCCCTAGCTGTTTGTCCTGTGTTGAAAAATACTTCCAAGATCAGGATGTTCAAAAAAAAAAAAAAAAAAAAAAGACTTGGCTTCCAGGTCAAACCAAAAATTATCCTAGGAAGTTCAGGATGGCTTGACACTGACCACTGAGTGTCCGCTGGTTCACAAAAACACTGGGCAAAAAACCATACACTCAATGTGCTCTGAATGGTGGCACATTTCTATCTTTTCAAACTATGGGTTTTCATCATATGGAGTTATGGGAACCACAGACCATGCTGACACCACTCAAGGCCAGGGCTGAAGTCCTTCCATTCCACAGCATCAAGCTTCTCTCGGCCTGCTTTGTTCACTGTAAAATCCAGGTATTACCCAGCAGAATGATCACTCTCTCGGCCTGCTTTGTTCACTGTAAAGTTCAGGTATTACCCAGCAGAATGATCACTCTCTCGGCCTGCTTTGTTCACTGTAAAATTCAGGTATTACCCAGCAGAATGATCACTCTCTCGGCCTGCTTTGTTCACTGTAAAATCCAGGTATTACCCAGCAGAATGATCACTCTCTCGGCCTGCTTTGTTCACTGTAAAATTCAGGTATTACCCAGCAGAATGATCACTCTCTCGGCCTGCTTTGTTCACTGTAAAATCCAGGTATTACCCAGCAGAATGATCACTCTCTCGGCCTGCTTTGTTCACAGTAAAATTCAGGTATTACCCAGCAGAATGATCACTCTCTCGGCCTGCTTTGTTCACTGTAAAATTCAGGTATTACCCAGCAGAATGATTACTCTCTCGGCCTGCTTTGTTCACTGTAACATTTAGGTATTACCCAGCAGAATGTTAACTCTCTCGGCCTGCTTTGTTCACTGTGAAGTTCAGGTATTACCGAGCAGAATGATCACTCTCTCGGCCTGCTTTGTTCACTGTGAAGTTCAGGTATTACCCAGCAGAATGATCACTCTCTCGGCCTGCTTTGTTCACTGTAACATTTAGGTATTACCCAGCAGAATGATCACTCTCTCGGCCTGCTTTATTGACTCCAAAAGAACGATAATACCAATACATATGAAACAAAGCCTGCATTAGAAGTTGCCAGATTAGAAATGTTGTGCTCTGTTTGTCTGAAAGAATTTTCCCCACTAGCTGCCAGAATTTTAAACATCTTAAATACCTTTTCAATAGTTTCTAATAGTTCTAAAGAACTGGGAAATTGCTACTGAAATAATTCATGCAGAACATGTATACACAATTATTCCAGCAGGAATTTTTAAATGAAAATAAATGGAAATATTAACTGCGAATCAACAGTAACAAATATATATATATATATATATATATTTTAAACAAGGAGTAACACTCACAGCTCACAAGGTGACTAACTAAGATTTTGTAGTAAACCACAAAACAATGTGCTAACAGTCCTTTTATAGAGTGAATACAGAATATAAAGAAGTTAATAAGATTTTTATTCTGTTTAAGTATTAAGGCTAGACCTATATTTTATAGACCAACTGGCACTTGGTGGGTGATGTAGTCAGCATCTAGCCAGCCACCTTTACTTCCCAGGACTTGTACCTGGTACCCATTCAAGGCTAAGTTGACCTGGGAGCCAAGGGGGGAGAAGAAGAAATTCCTGATGTCAAAAGTCAAATATTAATTAATTTTAACTGCTCTGAAGTAAAATGTTTCTTGTGTGTCAATATTTTTAAAACATCTTGTATTTTTATAAAGATACAAAATTGGATTAACACTGAACTAAGATAGATACTGGTACTATTAGCCATCAGACGTTGGGGTTCATACTGAGGGGAGGATCTGAGCACCTATGAACATGTCTGGAGTGCAATGATGATAATCCAACTAACTAACTAACTTAACTAACTAACTTAACTAACTAACTAACTAACTAACTAACTAACTAACTAACTAACTAACTAACTAACTAACTAACTAACTAACTAACTAACTAACTAACTAACTAACTAACTAACTAACTAACTAACTAACCAACCAACCAACCAACTAACTAACCAACTAACCAACCAATCAACTAACCAACTAACCAATCAACCAACCAACCAACCAATCAACTAAGATAGATACACATAGGAAATCATGAAAGCAATACTGAAAGACCTCCACTAGAGCAAAAGGGGAAATACTAACAACCAAAGGGAAAAAAAAATATTACCTTTATTTGTTAAATAACTCTCAGAGTTAAAAAAATATTTCCGAAACATTTTGTCATCTTCATGTTAAAAACTACTGTACAACACAATGACTATTCTATGTTTACACAAGAAACATTCACAATGTAATGACCAAGAGACAACCTGCTACACAGCAGCATGTAGTTGTTGTCTGTGGACCATTAGGGAGAAACAAACACACACATCAAATATAACAATGGAGAGCTGAAAAGAGAATATTTTACCAAGCAGCCAAGTGTTTGTTTATTACTAAACCAGATTCAGGACAATTAAAACCATTTATGCTTTTTTTTTAAATTTTAAATCTCAAGTACACAGTATTTATAGTATATTTAATTTGATAAATTATTTAAAATGTTTTCATTATTAACAACATTTCAGGTTTTTGATTGCTTTAATAATTAATTAAAATAAAGTATTTATCTGTTGACTGTACACATTTAGTCTCAAACACATATGATATTAGCTTATTTAATCCACTGCAGAAATCAACTGCATATATTTCCCCCAGACCATAAATTAAACAGATTACTGAAGATTCAGGGCAAAAAAGTAAAAGGCAGCAGTCAATGAGTCAATTACTTAGAGTGTCAGCACCTGTGTCTGTAGTCCCTTCACTATTCCCTTGCTTGCTTTGTTTATGCAGCTCAGCCAATTCTTCCCAGTGAGATCTGTTATTCGCACAACCATCGCTCAGTGGCTTTAGTTGTTCAGATATCTTTGCAAACAACTACAGGAGACAGACACATACACACATTACTGGTCAATATACGCAGTGACAAGAAAACATACTGTGATATCTGTGATCAGCTGAATCATGTTTGAAAGTGTTGAAGAAATAATTAGTAAAAATAACAAATGTTTTTCGAAATTTAACATCTTTGTTTCTGAGGACTAATGAGAAGAAAATCATGGAGACAGAGACAAAATGTATATGGAGAGCTAGTGAAGTGAATAGAAAAGATAAAAGAAAAATTATGAAAAAAATGCAACCAGTCACACTTTTATTAAAGAACAACAGAAGAAACTGGCTCTGTGTCAAGAATGCTCTCGTACTGATGCCACAGACAGCCATGTTGAAAAAATATAATGAGTGCATAGCAGGGGGAAAGACCTTGCAAAAATGGAACAACAGAATCAATAAGTGCCTTGAAGAAAGGAAGGAAGACTTACACAGTGCATTAGAAAGAGCAGATAAATTATCCTTACACCATCTTTCACCATCTTACACTTTGCTGAGGTAGCTTGAGCAGAAAAAAACAGAAAAAGAATGACTAATACAAAACTTTTACAGTGAGATACAACCCTTGTTTACCATGCAGCACTTATGGATTTAATTTTATCTGCAATAATGGTTTAGTCTATATGCCAAAAATTACTCACATGATTTAAATAAATTAGGCACTGGATATAATAACAACATGGAAAACATGTCACATTAAATTTTTTTTTTATAGAGAAGTGACATAAATAATAAGATTGAGCAAATGAGTTAAGTGCAGTTTATGCTGCATCTAATAACTTGTAATAAGCAGTAAGTTAATAAGTTCAGTAAGTTAATGACATTTAAGGAAACTCTTAACTTAAAGTAGGTTTATATAATGTGTTTTAAATGTAGACAATGCCTGAAAAACTGCTATTACAGTTTCTTTTCAAGACGTCCTAATTTGCTAAGCTAAGATCTCTAAAGTTTGAAACAATTTGTAGCTTAAGTATACAAGATCACAATTGACAATCCACCCAAGATTAATTCTTAATGAGAAACAGAGGACATTTATGTAGAAGAATGTATAAAGAATACTGCTTTCTCAGTGACTCAATGAGAATGCTCATGAGGATAGAGAAGGGCTGGGTCCAAAGATAGTGGTTGGAGTCTCTAAGTGGTCAGGGGTGACACATATCAGCTTCATATTTGTGCCAGGGCACAGAGGTGTGCAAGGAAATGAGCAAGCTGATCAGATTGCAGGTAAAGCTAATGTGGAGGGCGGACAAGCCATGGACCATGCTGATATTATGAATGCTCTGCGAGAAGTAAGATGTTTGCGAGAAAAAAGTAAGGACTGTGAATCTGCAACCATGACCAGATTGCAAGAACAATTTTTTAAAAGGGGTGTGACCATACAAGAGCACTATGTAGGCAGCCAAAGAACAATAAGAAACCAACACAGAACTGGCAGCTTAGCTGCTACACACTGCAGGATTGACTAAGAAGGGGATCAGAGCACTTATGGACTGAATGGTTTGATGTGTAATGAGAATAATCTGTCGACTGACTAACTAACTAATGTATGCAGAACTTTGACAATGTGAAATGCATACAAGTAGGGAAGCTACAGAAAATATTTTTTTGTCCTTTTACATAAAGGCTTTAATAAATTGTGCTGGCTAATTTATATGTGTGCAGTCTATTTCATACATATACTAGGCAATTAGTGCAAGTGATACTGTTCATGTGCTGGCTATTTGTGGCAAATAAACCAAGTGGTATAAATATCAAAGCCGTAGAAATGGAACAAATTCACTACAATGCAAACACTTAGCAACAGTGATATTCTATTCCTGAGACCTTCCTACAACACTAGAATATAGTAAATTTGTGCAGATGCAATACTGTAGAATACAGACATCTGCAGCAGAATATATTAGGTGTATAAATATCAGCTTTAAACAACAATAAGTAAAGTACTTGTGCAGCATACAATAGCCTATATATTTTAATGGCAGATTAAACATCCAGAAAGACACACAAAGCACTATGCAGAGACAAAGAAAATATATTGCCTACTGAAGTGCTTAATCCTCCTTTTGCTGTTGTCCGACCATTCGCATAAGGCAAATATGAGCTCCTCCCACTAGCCACATGCTTATCTTTTGTCAAGGTGACAGATTTTGATGCAGAACATCCTGCATGGGCATTCCTTGTCACACGAGAGGAGACTTGTGGGTCTGACTGTCTTCTAGATACTGCTGGAGATTTTCTCGTAGCCATAGGAGATCTGAAAGCTTTTGGTGACTTGGAAACTCTTTTAGAACTGTGTCCTTTGCTAGTACTTTTATGACTTTTGTCACCAGAAGCTTTGCTTGAAACCACATTGGATAAAGTTACTAAAGGTGGATCATCTATGGGTACTGGGCTGTCCAGCATGTTATTTTGAGCCAGCAGGTTCCATTTTTGTCGATTTGACATTAATCCTTCATATAATGGAGAAAGCCGAGGAAACATGGTTGCAAATGCCTTGAGTGATGAGAAGAAAGATTACAGATGTTGTGTATGGTTCTGTACAAGCAGCTTGGTAAAGTTTTGGACAATAAACATCAAAATTAAACAAGAGTGTCTGGAATTTTCTTCTCAGTCTTATGAGCATATCCATAATTATTCTAATAGAAGACATAATGATTTTTGTCTATTAATATGTTTATTATCAATTATAATTTCCAACTTTGTCTTACCATATGTCTTGAGAAAGAGTTTGGTTGCATTGTATATGTTTACAAGATTAATATATGTTCAGTGGGTTGGATAAATTTTGTGTTACATATTTCTGTTATAACAAGACAGTGCTATCTGTTCAGTGGGTTGGATCTATTTTTGTTGCATATATCTGTTATAAGACAATGCTATTTGTTCAGTGGATAGATCTACATTTTGATTCCATATACAGTGGAACCTCGCTTAACGAGCATAATTCGTTCCAGAATCACACTTGTTAAGCGAAACACTTAAATGCGGAACGAACCCACCTGGAATACGAATTAGATTTGCAGGAACAAAAAAAAATCGAAATAAATATGATACATAGCTAATTTTTTTACATTTGTTTTTGCCGACGCTTAAAAATTTGGCGAAAATGCGACACAGTATTAACATTAAATAAATTTGCAGCGCGCATAGCCACTTCCTTATTAGAGTGATACTCCTCAATGTAAGATGCAACAGTTTCCCATGCTTTCAGCATTTCTCTTTTTTCGCCAGAAGATTGTTGCTTTTCTGTTACCTCCTCCTCCTCTGACAAACTTTCCTCCAAAACATCTTGCTGTGAAACACAATGCAACTCCATAAGCTGTGGTCAGCTCTTGACTGTGCTTTTCCACAAACTCTTCGATTTCACTGTTATCCACCTAAATTCCCATGATAATGGCCAAAGACACAATCTCGTTGACTACAGGTTCCACAGGTACTGTCTCGAATCCCTCAGTCACAAATCAACAACGCTTCTTCCAAGCAGAAGTTAGGGTTCTCTTGGTAACCCCTTCCCCCATTTTGTCGATCATCTTGAGGCAGGCAACGATGTGATAGTGATGTTTCCAAAACTCTTTGAGAGTGAGGTTGGTCTCTTCAGTCACCTGAAAACAAGGCTCGAAGAGTGCTTTAGTGTAGAGCTTCTTAAAGTTAGAAATATTTTGCTGGTCCATGGGCTGGAGTAACGGAGTGGTGTTGGGAGGCACAGACTGGATCTTGATGAACTTAGAATCTTCAGGGAGGTCATCTTGTAGGCCGGGAGGATTCATGTACATATATCACAATATAACATAAGTTTGAGAAAATGTGTGATCACAAGCGACACTACGATGCTACTGGAACGAATTCTAAACACAGACTGATGTAACATGCGCACAATTTGGGACTTCCCCTCTCCGCGCTACTTGTCATGCGAACTGTCGCTCGTTAAGCAAGTCATTTTTTTTACAATTTGTTTTGCTCGTTATGCGAATTACTCGTTATGAGAGGTGCTCGTTAAGCGAGGTTCTACTGTATATGTCTGTTATAACACAATCCCATAAGTAGATCTATTTTTGGTTGCACATGTCTATTACAACAGGATACTACTTTATGTTGAGTGTGTTAATCTATATTCTATTGCATATATCTGTAAAAAAAAAATTCTATCTGTTCAGTGCATAGATCTATATTTTGGTTGCATATGTCTGTTACATGACAGTGTAATATGTTCAGTGGATAGATCTATATTTTGGTTGCATATGTCTGTTATATGATAGTGTAATATGTTCAGTGGATAGATCTATATTTTGGTTGCATATGTCTGTTATATGATAGTGTAATATGTTCAGTGGATAGATCTATATTTTGGTTGCATATGTCTGTTACATGACAGTGTGATATGTTCAGTGAAAGATCTATTTTTTGGTTGCATGTGTCTGTTACATGACAGTGTGATATGTTCAGTGATAGATCTATATTTTGGTTGCATGTAACTGTTACATGACAGTGTGATATGTTCAGTGATAGATCTATATTTTGGTTGCATATGTCTGTTACATGACAGTGTGATATGTTCAGTGATAGATCTATATTTTGGTTGCATATGTCTGTTACATGACAGTGTGATATGTTCAGTGGATAGATCTATATTTTGGTTGCATATGTCTGTTACATGACAGTGTGATATGTTCAGTGATAGATCTATATTTTGGTTGCATGTGTCTGTTACATGACAGTGTGATATGTTCAGTGATAGATCTATATTTTGGTTGCATATGTCTGTTACATGACAGTGTGATATGTTCAGTGATAGATCTATATTTTGGTTGCATATGTCTGTTACATGACAGTGTGATATGTTCAGTGATAGATCTATATTTTGGTTGCATATGTCTGTTACATGACAGTGTGATATGTTCAGTGATAGATCTATATTTTGGTTGCATATGTCTGTTACATGACAGTGTGATATGTTCAGTGATAGATCTATATTTTGGTTGCATGTGTCTGTTATATGACAGTGTGATATGTTCAGTGATAGATCTATTTTTTGGTTGCATGTGTCTGTTATATGACAGTGTAATATGTTCAGTGGATAGATCTATATTTTGGTTGCATATGTTGGTAATAAGGCAATGCTATATGTTAAGTGGATAGATTTTTACTTGGTTATATATGCCTGTTTTAAGTCAATGCTGTCTGTTTAGTTAATGTTTAGTTGATAGATCTTTTTTTGGTCACATATGTCTGTTATAAGGCAATGCTATCTGTTCAGTGGATAGATCTTTACTTTGGTTGCATATATCTATTTGTTCAGTGGATAGATCTTTACTTTGGTTGCATATATCTATTTGTTCAGTTGATAGATCTATTTTTGGTTGCATATGTCTGTAACAACAAGACACTAATTTGTTTAGTGTGTTGATCTATTTTTTGGGGGGTTGCATGTGGTGATATAAAGTGAAAGAATGGGCCTCAGTCTGAATAATGGGAAGACAGAAGTAATGGTTGTATCAAAGAAAGGAATTATTCCTAAATGTGTAATACAAGTTTGTGGTGTTATTTTGGGACAAGTACAGAAATTTAAGTTTCTGGGCACATGGATAACATCAGATGGAAGATGCATTACTGAAATAAGAAACAGAATAGGACACGCAAAAACTGCATTTTATAAAATGAAGTACATCTTATGCAATATATCTTTGTCATTGAGAGTTAAAAAAGAATTCTTGCTTGCTACATACATCCAGTTTTAACATATAGATGTGAATCCTTGAAAATCGGTAGGCAGGCCAAACAATTTCTATAGGCCTCAGAGATGTGGTTTTACATAAGAATGCTTAAAATACCTTGGACAGCAAAAAAAAGCTGCCAAGAGGTTTGAAAGAGGTGGGAGCCCAAAGACAACTTATCGCAGACATCAGAAGAAGACAGTCATCATTTTTCGGCCATGCAATGAGAAGAGGGAAAATGGAACATGTTGTGACCACTGGAAAGATCTGTGGAAGGAGGGATAGAGGAAGACAACAAGAGAAGATTCTTGACAGTCTTGTTGCATGACATGGAGGTGAGTCAGCACACAAACTAATACATGCTGTAGGAGATCGCAGATTGTGGAGAGACATGATCGCCCACACCAATCGGCAAGGCACCTGATGATGATGATATGTCTAAGACAATGTTATCTGTTCAGTGGATACATCCAACTTCAGTAACTTAATTATTCCAGTTGCACTTTATCTGTCTTATAACAAAACAGCAATGCCTTTTCAGCCAACAAATCCAACTTCAGCAATGCATTATTGTTTATAAACAGTGTTTGTCTCTCCTCTTTGATTCCTACTCTTCTGGTCAGGCTAAAGTCAGGCTGCCTATTTCCTGAGGCACTTACTTAGAGCAGCGGTTCTCAACCTGCCAGTTGCAACTATTTTTGCTTTCACAGAGGTCACCTAAGACCATCGGAAAACACATATTCATTGAAGTTGTGAAGGAAAATAATTGTTTGGGGTGTCGCCGACAACATGAGTGAACTGTATTAGAATGTCACAGTATTAGGAATGTTTAAGAGCCACCAACTTAGATGCTGATGTCAGGTCTCAGTCAGTTGTGCTTTAATTACTGAAGCAAGTCAATGTGTTCAAATATTTGGGTAGCTTATTAACAGCAGATGGGAAATTAATTAAAGAAGTTAAATGTAGAATAATTCAAGAAAGAGCAACATTTCATGGGACTAATAATATTTTATGCAATGTGTCTGTGTGAAATGAGGAGAGAAAGATAGTTTTTACAAGATATATGCTACCAGTCCTGATGAAAAAATGGAATCAGTGACAATTAGTAGATTAGTTAAAAATCTGGTAAAGCTGCAGAGATGTAGTTTCCCAAAAGAATGATAACACAGTGTACGGATAAAAAGGTAATGATGTTATTTTGAAAGAAATATTACTCACAGAGAGAACCAGTTGCTGACCCCAGGAATGGTCAGTCTGCATTCTTTGGGTATATCCCTAAGGTGAGGGAAAGCTGGAGTATATCACGTCAACATAAGAGTTGGAGAAGAAAGAAAGGGATATTTCCAAGAGAGATGATGATTGTACTTTGGCATCATGGCATGTAAGAACATTTGTAAAAGAAATTATTAAGTCAGCTTGGAGCAAATGCAGTGTTTTTTCTTCTTCTAGATACCAGTACTCATCACTGTCCCTAAAAAGGTGCTGGTACTCACCATAAAGTGACTGTTATAGAAGTCCTGAAAAAGGATGCCTAAAAAAAATGTGTATCATTGCATACGGCCTGGATAAAGCCCTGAGTAGAGAATTAAAGAAATTATCAAGCTCTGAGTTGCTTAAAGAATTTTCTGCAGTTTCAGCGAGCACCCACTATCCCCGCTGCCTTCTGTCGGGTTGTAGCTTAAATACATTATATTGACCAAACATTGTAACAAACAATAAAAAAGTTGTTTCTGCAAAGTCTTACCTCATAAACTGGAGTGCAGATGAAATCAATAAAATCCACTTGCATTTTTGGTAATTCGTCCTTCTTTTCTCTGTCCATCATAGGCTGTTAAAGAAAAAAAAAACAAGAACTATACAGATAGTAATTTTAAATAATAAACAGTCTCCAGAATCACTTGACTAGGGCAACCAAAATAATGTATGCTACCAACCTTTACAGTTTGTTCTAGATCATCAGAACTGAGCATAAGTGAAGTTGCTTTAAGTATTTTTTGTGATGAAAAGGACACTTTCAAAATCAAATGTTTTGTAGACTACATTATTACAGAAAAAAAAAACGATTCAACTGATATTGCTGCATCTGGGGCATTTCTATGTGTGCTCAGTCCCCTTACTCATTAGCCAGTAGGGTTCCTTTATTAATGGTTTCAGCTGCAGTCTAATTAAAATCCAACCACACTCTTTCCCCTTCATTATAGGAGAAAATCTTGGATACTCAAATTCAATATTACAGAGGATTTTTAGAATAGCAATGACTAAAAGAATAAAAAATACCGTCATTCTGCAAGATCCAGAATAAAAGAAAACTGATCCATTCACAATATCCTGTTTGGAAGTGAAATACATATGAATTATTCAAAAACTACTGTGGTGTAGAAAACACAGTAATGCAAGGCATGGTTCCTGAAAAAATACCATAATGAATGAGTGTGGAGATGGACACAAGATATATAAGACACTTGACATAAAAGTGCATGAGACATAAGAGGGGGTGGGGGTGGCAAAGGGCTGGGAAACGTTTTTTCACTAGCCTTAAGGGGGAGCACTTTACAATATACCTGCTTCATGTTAAGGATGGCAGAATATTTAATACATGCAATTTAAGTGAAATCTATACAGAATTTAACAGATTAGAACGAATCATCATGCAGTCAGAGCCAGAAATATGATTTTACAACAATTGGTGGTTTGCGATGACAGCTTGTCGGACCGTCGATCAACCGATATGCGCAGAGCTAGAGAGAAACACGTCCCGCCATCTTGACACAAATCGGAAACCCGGAATACTAAATTTCAAATGGTCAGATTTCCGAACCAATACACAAATAAGGCAAGAATCCAGGCAAGAGTATGTGTCTAATTTTATACGAAAACGCCGCTGGAAATATGTCGGCCACGCCCTTAGAATGGATAAATCAAGACTTCCTTACCAAGCCCTCATTTGGACACCACAGGGGAAAAGATCTCGTGGAAGACCAAGAGAAACCCTACGTAGAACTATCATCAGGGAAGGCTCGCTCATGGGCCTCTCAAACATCCAAGACCTACAACAGATTGCAACGAACCGCCATGCATGGAGAGTCATGACCTCTGCCCTATGTGCCGCACTCGACACAAGAGGAAAGACTAACTAACTAACTATATAGAAAGATGATGGGATAAGGAAGCAAAGAGCTTTTTATTGTTAATCCAAATATTTTATCAAATTTTTACCTTTCAAATATAAATTACGATAAGTTATAAATTACAGTAATTATTAATTTACGTGAAGATGGACAATATTTAGTTGACTTTTCCGAAAAAGTGGCATCCTGTGTTCATCTAAATCTCCCTGCTTAAACAAAACAGTCTGAAGTGACACACTTCACTGTCTTCTTCTACATTCAAATTGGTACTGGTACCATTGGTACTCGAACTCTGTCCTGGCTGTTGAAGATGGGAAGAGAGCACTTATGGGAATGCCCTAAGTGCTGTGTTGTCAACTCAACTCTCTATTATTTAATATGGCTGCTACGTCACATGCTGTCAGACCCATGAAGATAAGCCAGTTACATTTAACGTTTTGCTTGGGCTGAAAAAGTTTAAACATCAAGTTCTAAATTAGTTTCAGATCTTACTATTGGCTTTTCTCCCAGTTGTGTTTTTTCTATGTCTCCCTGTTCAAAAAACTCTGAAGTGACCAGCTGGGCAATCTCCTTCTGAATTTTCCATGGCTTCGTTATGGCTGCCACATCACATGCTGTCATCATCATTGCTCTGATGGCAAAAATAAAATATAGAATTGAATGATAACAAAACTAATAAATAATTAATTTATAAGACATTTACAGGAAGCAGTGTTCTGAATAAATAATGAATTTTCAAAGCAATGTTTCATATTTTAAATTTCAATAATGAAGACAAATACAACAAACTGCATAATTTATTGCTAAGTATATTTTGCTGTTCTCACAAAGTGAATATAACGCAATTAGGTCAACATACAATACTATTTTTGGAGGCAATAATAACAAAAGAAGAAAGAGAAATTAAAACAACAGAAATGGAATATTTGTGATGAATCCTAAACACAACAAGAAGAGAAAGGAACAGAAATGATAATATCAGGAAACAAGTTGGGATCGAACCAGTGTAAACAGTAAGCTACAATAAAAGACAGCAGATCAAAGTGTTTGGACATGTTTCAAGACTACCACAAGTTAGTGACAAGTTAGTGTAGAGAGCAATATGGTAAGGATTTTGGTATACTATATAAATAATAATTGGTGGGCCAAATAAACATAGACAGCAAGAGGGTAGTATAATTAGTATACTATATAAATAATATTTGGTGGGCTAAATGAACTTAGACAGCAATATCCTAGTGTAATTAGTATACCATTTAAATAATATTTGGTGGGCAATAAATGTAGACAGTGTTATGGTAGCGTATTCATACTATATAAATAATTTTTTAGTATACTATATAAATAATTTTTTAGTATACTATATAAATAATTTTTTAGTATACTATATAAATAATTTTTTAGTATACTATATAAATAATATTTAGTGGGCTAACTAAATGTATAGAACAATAATGTAACGTTATTAGTATACTTTATAAATAATATTTGGTGGGCTAAATAAACATAGACAGCAATATGTTAGTGTATTAAGTATACTTAATTCCCCGTGTGGGTTCCGGGGCCCTATTTTAGGGAAAACAAGAATAGACCCACTGCCTACCCAAAAGCATGTCGTAAGAGTCGACTAATTGGGAGCTTTCTTCGAAGTCGGAGTGCATCTGCCTGAGAGGTAAGGAACCAGCAGTCTGCACACAAATGAGTCAGATCTGTCAAACGGATGCACATGCAACACTCAGGTTCTTAAATAGGACTGCAGTCCAGAAGTGGACGAACAACCAGAACTTTCCGCCTGAGTTTACAGCCGGTGAATGCAAAGAAAGGAAGAGTATACTATATAAATAATATTCAGTGGGCTAAATAAATGTAGACATGGTAGCAAATTTAGTACACTAAAAAATAATATTTGGTGGACTAAATAAATGTAGACAGCAATATGGTAAAGTCTCTTTGTGCGAGTTCCTGGGTCTGATTGGGGAGGAAGGGGTGGGGGGGGGGTGGGGTGGGGGGTGGGGGGGGGGAGAACCACCACTGCACTCATAACAAGCATGTTAAACAAGGCGACTAATCAGGGGTGTGCTTAGATCTGATGTGTTCTTCAGAAAGGTGCAGATATCATAGCCTAGCTGTAAACTACAACACAACAAGACAACAGTCCATTAAAGGATAATTGCAGAAGAAGATATGGTAAACTAAAACACCTTATTTCCTGCCATGAGGCATGCTGGGTACATGGTGTTAGCTCCATATTTGTACAGAGAAGATGCACTCGAGTAATGTGGTCATTAGCATGCTGGCTACCTTTCTTTCCAAAACATTTAAGGACAATTTTATGTCAACCTGACTTAACTCTTTGAGTCCCAAGGAACGCATCATACGTTCCTAGGTTCCTACCTAGAAGCCCAATGAACGCATGATGCGCCGATTTTATTACTTTCTTTACTGCCCCCTCGGCCTGTAATGCTAAACACTCTGGGACTCAAAGAGTTAAGAAAAAAACTACTGCATTCACATGGAAACCCACTCTAAATGCTATCTTTAGTTAATATATTCATATCTTGGTCTTCTTAACACTGTTCTAGTGCAATTGAACCAAAGCATTTCACTAAATTTTTCTAGAAAAGATCACTGCAGACAGGCTGAGAAATTGGTATTTATGGGACTGTGTTACAACTAGAAGTAACTACATTTAGTCTTCCTGGGTTGACATGATTAAGTGGCAAGACAGGGTTAAGTGGCAAGACAGGGTTAAGTGGCAAGACAGGGTTAAGTGGCAAGACAGGGTTAAGTGGGACATCCTGATTTTAGGTGGCCAAGAATGATAACCACAAAGTATGTATCACAGTCACGTGTTACAGTATGGTCATGTGCCTAGTAACCACAATATAGAGAGTTTAGATAGTATTTAAGGGTTTTGGAGTTGAAAACTGTGAACTCACTTGAGTAAATCCTTTTTGTTATCGTCTTGAAAATCTCTCTCACCATTTTCCACTAGTGACTTGAATTCTCCTCGTTTCCTGAAAATAAAAGAAATAATTTATCTTGGAGTTTCAGGAAGAACATAATTGTGTGAAGAGAAATTTACTAAAAGTAGTATCTTTTAGGTAGTTATTTTAAGAAATATCACATCTGAACTTAGTAATACGGGCTTTATAGTGTGTGGTTGCACATGTTATCTGATTTGCATCTGTGTACCCAGCTGTTTATTTGCTTTGCAGTTGTGTATCCTATTGTACAAGGTCCGACAATTAGGAAATGATCTGGCAACTTTTCATCACTGCTCAATAAGCAGACAACAAACAAGCCACCATTTTGTTGACCTAGTCAGAGATGCATTGTTACGTAATCGCAAGAATCAAAAAGCCAACATTAAATTCTTCTGTCTTACTGCCTGTGTATACATTTTTAATCCATATGTTATCCATCCTTAACAATACCAAGACTTACCGTCCTTTTTAGGATGGAATTTTTCATTATTTGAAGAACTACTCTGGCTCTTGCCAGGGGCGCAATATAGCCTGACCATAAATATGGCCTAAAGGCTGAACATGGTTTCTGGGACCTCTCCACAGTGATCCTCACCCTCATGGTGGCACATTGTGTCATCGGGTGTTTATCACTTGTGTGATGTCCTAGTGGGGTAGAAAGTCAGTCACTCAGTCGTTATCCAAACATCTCTTCCTCCACCCAAACCATCAATCCAGTCAGCCAGTTATCCATCCACCCAAACATCTCTTCCTTCACCCAATCCATCAATCCAGCCAGCCAGTTATCCATCCACCGAAACATTTCTTCCTTCCCCCAACCCATCAATCCAGCCAGCCAGTTATCCATCCACCCAAACATCTCTTCCTTCATCCAACCCATCAATCCAGTTATCCATCCACCTTCCTATTCTTCTTCTATTCACCCACCCATCTATGTATTTATCATCCCTCCATCCCTCCACACACCTACCCGCCCATCTATGTGTATATGTATATTTGTCTGTGTGTCTGTCAATCTGTTTGTTTATCTGCCTGCCTGTTTGGTTGCCTGTTTATTTATCTATATCTCAGAGAGGTCAGTAGAAATAGTATTTTAAAGGTCCAAACATACTGAAATCATACGTGATACACAAACATAGTTTCAGTTTATAAAATAAACAATAAAATTAAAATAAAAACATACTTGAAATACAAGGCCAAATCTGTTGACAAAATAGCATGCTCAAGAATTTTTATGGCTCTTCTGTACTCTTCTGGAGTGAATGATTGAAAAATATTGTTGCCCTGAAATATACAAAGGCAACAATTAAACAATTATTTTATGAAATATATGAGAAAAATGTTTAATGCAGTGGACAGTTCTGAAAATTAGTTTGTCAGTCATTTGTTTCCTTAAGATTGACAACCTTCAGTACTGTAATAAGTAATGCTACTAATTATTTTTTGTGCGTTACTTTAATTCATTCTATACAGGGCTTTAACTATTGCATCTCCCTGTTAAGTCTACCTCTAGCTCCTTGAGTGCCAGAAGATTTTTCTGGAGATGGCCATTTGTATAAATAACCAATAGGAAAAAACCACAAGTGTATTTTCCCCTTTCAAATATAAATTATGATAAGTTATTAATTACAGTAATTGTTAATTTATGTGAAGATGGACACTCTTAACCTGACTTTAATGAGAAAGTGGCATCTTGTGTTTTTCTATGTTGTGTTTTTCTATGTCTCCCTGGTCTTCCAGATTGACTTGGCCTGACACGAGTACTAGGAAATTTCCAGGGAAGTAAAGGTGGCTAGTGCCATGTTGATCACATCACCATCAGTTGCTGCCTGATCCTTGAAAATATCAGCCCAGCAGTAAATGACAGATGTGGCACTGATGTTAAAAGATTTCTCTAATGATTATAAAGAAAACAAAGCCATTTTGATTTTAGTGTAAATTCCCGCATATTATTTAGAAAATAACATTCTTAGGGCTTTATATCACAAGTTAATACACAAAACCCCACATTATTAATTCTGTTCTCATTAAACAGAGGTCATTTTATGTTAAAACTGCCCTCCACATTAAAGCTGTTACATGACTTCCCAAATGCGCTCAGTTTTTGATATAAAAAATAAAAACTACAACCCATAAGCATGACACACAATAACCTAATTAGGATTTTGCTGTAATCAGATGTGTTGGGGCAAAAAGTGCATATATCACAGCCTTGCTATAAACTCAAATGCAAGAAACCAATCACATTTTTAATGGCTACCACAGAAAAAAAGAAGTCAAGTACTTACCTCACTATTTATAATCATAATGCAGTGGTCAAAATGATGATGTTCTAACACTGAGGTGCTATATAGCATGGCCAATGGAGATGCCACCCTGAAAAAAAACATAATCATAATAACAATGATGGTATCAAAGTAATCTGGTAATCTTAGTTTCAGCTTCATAGCAAATGGGTCACCCCATAGTTGCTCTGCCCATAGCCAATGAAAAACACACAGAACGTTTATTACAGTCCCTTGTGGAAAGATTGACAGACTGCTGTCTCAGCATATGCACTAGCATACACACGCATTAAAAGCATATAGTAGCCACCAGAAGTGCTAACACAAACAGTCCGACATAAGAAATGCAGTTCATCATGGATGGTAGCAGAAGTCACCAACAAATCAGCAGCTGCACACACGATCAATTTTAATCACATAATGGCACCACCAATATTGTGACAACAGGCATTGCGCCATTTTCTGAGTCTACAATTCACACCACTATGTTGGTCCAGTAGAAAATATTCCAAATGAAATGTGCAGCTCAGTGTCATGCCATGCACACAACTCAGAAGCTGCGTGACGCAACTATCCTTTCAGTCTACAAATGGTGCAAAAATGCACCGGCCACCATCTGGCAAAAGCACAAAAAAATTTGCCATGGCTCACAACAGTGACTGTGCCTATCGTCCATTCTGATGGGAAAATATCTGATTGCTTGAGAAATGTGTTATTACAAGTAGTAACCACTGAAACTAGTATCTGGGAAAGGCCAGATAGATAAAATCAAAAATGAGATCAACAGAGGAAACAGCATAGAATTAAAACTTAATTCCATATGAAAACATTCATGTGATATCTTCTGCATGTTGAACTTTACCTGTTCAAATGTTCTTACGGTCTACTCCCCTCATTGTAGAACATGCATTGATCGTCTGCAAACAATAGCTTGTTTATTGTGTTTGGATCTAATTCTTCCTTTAGAAAGTAAAGTTCCTCATTTGCTGGATTTTCTGGACCGACTGCTTTAAAGTGCTAAATATACTAGTGACAATGCAGCTGTAAAAACTTTTCTAGCAGTGGCATAGCAAAATAGATGACACCCAGTGTAGTAAATTTTCTGTCACGCTCGACTCTTGTCACCCCCTACATATATATATATATATATACAATTTTAACACTTTTTGCTGATTTCGCCATTTTGTCTCCCCACTCCCTCCCAACATACACATTTTTTTAATGTTAAAAACACTTGTGCCATTTTATCACCCCTTTAGTGATGGCACCTGTATGACTCGCATCCCTTACACCCTATTAACTATGCCACTGTTTACTAGGCAAAAGGTAAGAGATTACTAAACAGACAGGTTGCACAAATATTACTCTTCAAGAAAGCTGCAAGAATAGTATCTTTCAGTCTCTGTCTTTGGTATGCACTATACATAAAATACAATTGCCCTGTGAAAGACCAATGGTTAGAACCAATGAAATATAGGCCTGAGTGCAAGACTTTAAAAAAAATAAAGTTCTCTCTCTCTCTCTGTTTCCCAACCCCCTCTCCCCACGATTGTAAATGTTTACTGTTTTTCAGTTTTCCTTCTATATATTGTAGGTATCTGCTAATTAGATGCACATTTTAGTTCATGAAGTTATACAATTATTCTTCAAAAGCTTTTATTACAGAAACAACTACTGTCCCTAGTTTAAAAAAAACAATTATTACTTACTTGACTTGAAAAGCATTATTAGTGCCTCTGTGATCAAGGTCATGACACAAACATGCAGCCATTAATGCAAAAACTTCTACAGCATCAAATTTTGGCCTTAGCTCTCCTGTCTGAAATAATACATCAAGTACTAGTCATTCAAAAGTGAAAATAAACAGATGTTAATGAGCAATCTGGCTAACATATATATATATTTGTTAGCTAATAAAGATATTTTTCACTTTGTTCAGTCTCAGTTAATAAATTTGGATAATGAATGGTTTAGTGGATGTGCGCATTAACATGACAAAGCGTGCATTGTAAGTTAACACCTACAGGAAATCACATTTCAGCCAACAAAGACTTTGGCCCAGGTAACACTGTGTAACAACAAAATTCACACAGTTAAAGGCTGTCTAAAAAAACATGATGAAAAACAATATGAAAAGTATTAAGGTAATAAAAAAATAGTTTATGTCATTAGTCTAAATATGGTTTACAATTTCCGTTTGTTTAAAGATTAATCTGTACAAAATACTTTCATAAGAAAAAGTAAAGGGTGTTTTTCTTTAGGCCAGTGGCCAAGTGGGTATATGATGCTAAACCCATATTTTCATAGACCAGTTGGCACTTTATGGGTGTTTGAGTTAGTTAACATCTTGCTGGCTGTCTTTACTTCTTAGGACATTTCTTGGTATCCATTTTTTGGCTCAGGTTAAACTCGGAGCCAAGATCATTTAAATAAACATTCTAGGTTGAAACAGGTTTTGACCTTAAACATTTGGGTCACATGCACATCAAACCACTGTGCCACCATGGCTCTCTTCAAAACTGAAACATGACAAAATATATTTAACTTTGTCAGTTCCAAGCAACATCTGTCAAGACTACCATCAGATATGGCATCACATATAGCTCCGTCACAGAGACATAATGGAAGGAGAGCAGAGATTGAACAGACAAGTGATGAATAGATTAAATATCTGAGGCTGTTAATAGTATTATCTACGTAGCACATACCAAGGCTTGTACCCGATGCCTCTAGAAACCTTGATGCTGAAAGGCAGAATAAGACGAAAAGATGGAGAAGAAGAAGTAATCCAAGGCAAGTGTGATATGTAATTGGCTTTTCCCTGTGATCCCCAACCATGGTAAAATGTTTTCTGTATAACTTTTTAAGTTAAGAAAAAAATACTAGAAAAAAAATCTTTCACAGTTAGAATATTGCATTTAAGGATGGTACTTGCCACACTATAATTTGTTTCTTTATTCATTCCTATTCTTTTCCTGAGTTGCACCCCCCCCCCCACCCTTTAACTCAACTCACTTAGCACTCACTCTTAAGTGAGTGTTTGGTACACTGTGCTGTGGTTTACAGTGAGGCTGCGATATCAGCACCTTTCAGCCTAAAACATCGTATCTAAGCAAGCTTCAAATTAGAGCCTTTTAAGATGTGCTTATTAGGGGATGGCTGGTCTATTCTTTCTTTACCCAAAATGGGGTCCCGGGACCCACATGAGGTGAAGGATGGCTTAATACTGACTAAATCCTTGAGGTCATGCCAGTTTATCTATAAAATATATGACTTGCATCTCAGGCCCATTGTGGGAAATAGGTCATTAACTATTGTTACTTAAATACAATAAAGCTGTTGCAAAGAAGGGAGAAAACATCATGTCAATTTCCTCAGAATAAACTTTTGGCTGAGACACAAAATACATCAAACTAGTCTTCATTACTTCTGCTTCTTCTTCTTCTTCTTCATGTTCATCAGGTGTAAACTCCGGCAGAAAGTTTTGGGTGTTCATCCATTTTCAGACTTAAGTTTTGTTTCAGAACCTGAGTGTTTCATGCACATCTGTTTCACAGATCTGGCTTATCTGTATGCAGACTTTTGGTTCCATGCCTTTCAGGCAGATGCACATTCGGAGGATGTACCCAATCAGTCGACTCTTACAACATGCTTGTTGAGGAGGCAGTGGGTCTATTCTTGTTTCCCCCCACAGTAGGGCCCCAGAACCTGGCTGGGGAAAACTAATCTACTTACATAGCAGCCTAACACAGCATACACCAAATACTATTAGTAAGTATACAAGTCTATTTCATTACCAAATCATATTTCGAAATTACCTGTACACATACTTACATAAAGCATAGTAAACATTGTCTGACACACATTAAATGCATGTCTCCAGTTGTGATATGTCACAGGTCTGTAGTTCTTTTTAACAGTACACACCCAACGGCACATGGTCTTGGTGAAAAGAGAAAAATCACAGTAAGATTGCTTGTAAACTGTCAGAAATTTTTTCCAGTGCAGGTTTCGGAAACCAAATATTTCGTGGGGGAAAAAACACACAATTGCTGCTTACCTAACAAGCTTGTTGTAAAAAGTGACTAATTAGTTCAAATGTGGATGACCAACTGAAACTTTCCATCAGAGTTTACAGCTGGCGAATGTGAAGAAGAAGAAAGTCAGAATATAAAAAAACCAACGGTTTCTTTTTTAAAGTCCATGTCATGTGGTGTTGATAGTCATGTCTATCCTCAACCTACTATCTCATGTATGTTCAACCAACTTTGGAACCAAAATCCTACATGCCACGCCTCCATGCAACTTACTATTGTATAAGATTTTTATAGAGGCAGTGCATCATCTCTCGCAGTTTCTCTCTCTGCCTCTCTCCTCTCCTCCATCTTTCCTACTGTCACAATGTACTTCAGTTTTCTCCTTCTCATGTAGGCATTCAGTTCTCTTAATGAGTCATTTTCTTTCAAGACATTTTCAATACTCTTTTTATCTGTCCAGGGTATTCTCATCACTAGTCTATAAAGCCCCATCTCAGCAGTATCAACATAATTTTTCACTAATTGACATATTTTCCATGATTAACTTCCATTCCTAATAGTAGGATTTATATAGCTTTTAATAATTCTCTGTTATTTTTTTAAATTTAAACTGACAACATAGTTTAGTCAAAGGTTAATCAAGATTATTAGAAACAAAACCTAAATAGCATTACCTGTACAATATTTCTAACAAATTGCTGTGACTTTGTTATCTCTATTTAAAATATATTTATTTTTATCTTCAAGACGTTATAAAAACCAACAAAATTATTTGAAAATAAGGCATACGTCTCTAATTATTATTGCAAAAGCCCCTCTATGTATTGCAAATATCATCAGTCCAGGCATAGTTCAAACCACTATACATGTGCTGTGCTCATTCTGGCTACATCTTAATTTTTCTCTGCACAGATGTTAAAAGACAGTTCACATTTTGCCCATCTCACTGGTGCCTAAATTTTTAGTCAGGAGGAAGAACTCAGCAACACAGCTTCCCTAAAGATGATACATGGTAAGGATAATTTTTCTTCTTCTTTGCATTCACCAACTGTAAACCCAGGTGGAAAGTCCTTGTTGTTCAGCCTCGTCTGAGTTTTTCATGCACACCCATTTTACAGATCTGATTTATTGGCATGCAGACTGTTGGTTTTCTGCCTTTCTAGTGGACGCATTCTGACTTTAAAAGGAAATGTTGATCCTGTCTATTTTGACCAGGCCCCCTGCTGGGAACCTGTTTCTAGGATATAGGGTAAGGATAAGAGTCTCTGCTCCAATCTCACTTCAATAGGTACAAATCTTCAGGGCTTTCAACTATAGAAAGGAGTGTTTACAGTACTAATTTTGCATCTGTCAGTAATACTACAGATAGTAAACAATCACTGATATTTTGCTTTCTTGATTTCTGGTTGTTTGCATCATTGTACTTTAGTGTTGGTAATCTGATGACCTACATTCTCACTCCATCGTTTCTAACCCCATCTGAGTAGCGCAGACTTGAACCCTATACAGTTCATTTTCATCCTGGATACACTTTTAATCAGACTAATAATGGTACTATTGGTATTGGAACTGTGCTTGCTGCTGAAAATGGGGATGGAGTGCTTATGAGAATATTTCATGTGCTGTGGTGTCGGTTCTTAACTTATAACATTGATACCATTTAGCTGTGTATACGGATGAATTTGAAGAAAATGGTTGGAGTTGCTGAGGAAATCTTGTCTAAAGGGAATTAGTTTCATTTTTGTGCCAGGACACTCTGAGGTAAGAGGGAAAGAATGAGCAAATAGGCTTGCTGGCAGGGCCACGGTAAGTAGAGGAATAGTAATGGATGCAGCTGGCATTCTTAATGCTCTCAAGGAGGCAGGAGACAATGTTGAATCAAAAGTCTACAAGAAATTCAAGTAAAAAGAGGTGTTATAAAACCTGAACACTATGCATGTAGCCAAAGAAGAATAGTAAACCAACACAGAACTGGTGTTATCAAGTGCCACACGCTAAGGGATATATGCTGGGGGATATACTAAAGATGGGATCTGAGCGCTTATGGACTTGCCGATGTGCAGTGAGGATAATCTGTCCAGTAACTAACTAACTTACTGTTGTATAAGATTTTCATAGAGGTAGTGCCTATGTTTGTCACTGGCACTGCTGCATTCTAACAACTGTATCTTGTGCATAAAGTGTGTCCATACCTCATAAGGAACCTTGAACTGACTGATAAGGCTTGCATCCATAAACATACGGATAGTTGCTTTGATGGTGTCACTGTCAGACATTGCCATATCATCAAAGTCATATGTGTAGAGCCGGTAGTCATCTGCTGTTGGTATCTTCTCCATCTGTAAACAAACCAAAAGAACATATTAAATAACATCTTACTTCAAAATTTTCTTTGTTGATATTGTCTCTTCTGGAAAATATGTTTGCATGTTTCTAACAAGACAATGCTAAATTTCTGTAAATAAATCCTCTGAAAATTATTAAAAAAACTTAAATTCCCTGTAAAAGCAACTGATGTACATTTCCATGTCAGTTGAATAAATACTCTTGATTGTATCTATTTTTATATGGATGATGACAGCGTTTAGGCATTAAAACAGTTAATATCTTCTTCTTCTTAACATTCAATGGATATAAACTTGGGCAGAGAGTTCTGGTTGTTCATCCACTTCTGGACTTAAGTTTTGTTCCAGAACTTGAGTTTTGCATTCACATCCATTTTACCAAAGTGGCTTATTTGTATGCAGACTGTTGGTGTCTTGCTTCTCAGTCAGATGTACTCCAACTCTGAAGGAAACTGCACTAATTAGTTGACTTTTACGACATGCCTTTTAGGATGGCCGTGGGTCTATCCCACATATGATAAATTTATATTGTCTTACGCAGTGATTGATATTTTTCATGTGCAGTTCTATTTGATATATTTTCAATTGTGATTTAAAAATAGTTATTTCTTACCATAATTCTCTCAGTTTCCTCTTTACTGGCCGTAGCATGGAAGGACAATACCTCTAGTGCAACACTTTGTTTTGCCATCAGCTGGCATGCATTCTCATACATCTGACAGTTATGAATGCCCAAGCCGGTAAAAATTGAGAAAGCCTGGGAAAGCAATGCAAAGTTAATATGTGAAGAAAAGATATAGTTAAAAAAAACTGTCTTCATTTAAACATTTCCTAGTGAAGCCATGGCCATGTGGTGGCTAGTATGTTTGCTTCTGGCCTTGTGGTCACATGTCTAAACCCCTGTTAAGGCATTTTACTGTTGTAAAATGATATGAGGATTGCACTTCACTGTCTAATATGCTTCAAGATCTGCCAATGAGACTTTTACTTTACCTTTCACCACATGCAAAATATGTTATAAGACGTGAAGTTGTCTCCTTCATTTTACATACAAATGTCTTTCAATACTGTGTACTGAGGGAGTTTGGCGTAATGTTGACACATCATCCACTGAGTGCAGACTGGTCTATAAATTATAGGTCTAGCCCTATATGCTCAATACACTTGAAGGTGTGGAAGAGAGTTAGTTAGTTAGTTAGTCTTTCCTCTTGTGTCGAGTGCGGCACATAGGGCAGAGGTCATGACTCTCCATGCATGGCGGTTCGTTGCAATCCGTTGTAGGTCTTGGATGTTTGAGTGGCCCATGAGCGAGCCTTCCCTGATGATAGTTCTACGTAGGGTTTCCCTTGGTCTTCCACGAGATCTTTTCCCTTGTGGTGTCCAAATAAGGGCTTGGTAAGGAAGTCTTGATTTATCCATTCTAAGGGCGTGGCCGACATAGTTCCAGCGGCGTTTTCGTATAAAATTAGACACATACTCTTGCCTGGATTCTTGCCTTATTTGTGTATTTGTTCGGAAATCTGACCATTTGAAATTTAGTATTCTTCTAAGGCATTTATTTTCAAAACTGTCTAATTTTGTGTCTAGAGTTATGGAAGAGAGTCCTTTACTTTTTACTTTTACTGAGGGAGTTGCTTTTCTGGGAAGGGAGTTGGAAAGGGGGGGGGGTGGAATAGAGAAGATAAGAATTCACATAAACAGCATTTGAAAACTATTATTACTCATCTGAATAAGACGCTCATAAAGACAGATTTTTGACTTTGAGTGAGGTACACATGTGGAAATTGCATATTTACCAGTTACATTACTTATGTTTGAAGAGGTGGGACTACACGGTAACTATGCATTAAAATATTTATTTTTATAATTCAAGATGCACATTTGTGTATGCAGGCATGAGATTGTGGCAAACAGACATTGAATTATTTATTTCTCAGTTTTTATTAAAGGAATAAACGACTGACTGACTGACTTTCTACCCCACCAGGACATCACACAAGCAATAAACACCCAATGACACAAAGTGCTACCATGTGGGTGAGGATCACCGTAGAGAGGTCCCAGAAACCGCGTTCAGCCTTTAGGCCATATTTATGGCCAGGCTATATTGTGGCCCCTGGGTGGGGCTTCAAATAACGAACAATTTCATCCTAAAAAGGACGGGAAGTAATAACATTAAAGGAATCAATAGGGACGAGAGTTTGTGGAGATACAAGGATGCACACAAAAAGCAGTTGAAAATATTTACAACTCACCTCAATAAGATGCTCATCATTATCATCGAAAGGTTGCCCATTGACCTTGTTGATGAGCTGTGTCACTCCGATGATGGTCCGATCACTGTTGTGGATAGGCATACACAACACACTCTTGGACACAAACCCATGCTCATCTTTAAACTGTGCAAGGAAGAACAATTTTCTGAAGTGTAATTAATTACACACATAAAAGAGAATGGCTGATAACAGAGACAAAAACTGCACGCACCAAAAAAGTTGAATGTCAGTAGATCACAAGGCCACCAAGAAGATGGTGAAGGGATGATATACAGCTAGATCCATGAAAATTGGAGTTGCCAAGCTAGGTGATATCTGCAGCAATGAACCTCAGGGGCTCTGAATGTAATGTTGTAGTGCATCTGCTAGCCAGTTTAAAATGGAGGACTAGGCAAGGCAGAATGTTAAGCTTCAAAATTTATTTTTGCTTTCAACAGTGCTTTGCTAATGCAGTTTCTACATATGGATGGTAGTCTATGGTTTCGCTACCTGAGCTATTGAGCTTAGTGCTTGGTGCAGCCCTGTGAGCTGTTTTTTTTAAAAATGTGGAATGCCTTTTATTTGTGCAGCAGCTAAGTCATTGTATTCAATATGGCCAGTAGCTGGTTTATGTGTGGGCTGGTGAAATACCTTATGTAATCATTCTACATGTGTATAGCCAATTTATCCAGCCTGACTAGTTCCATCAATGACAAACTGCGTTTCTGGTGGTGACTGTCGACTGTCAAGCAACTGCCATACGCATTTACCGTGCGCACATATTTTTGGATTATGCCGAGACTAATTGTTTGTTCACCTGTTTTTCAAATGGAAAAGTGAAGGACATTTTGTCTTATATTCACTGGCATACTGCCCGCCAAGCAAAGAACTCTCATTATACAACATGAGAATCCCAGATGACAACTGTATCGTTCTAGGAGATTTTAACAGCTGCTCTCCAAGCTGGGGATATTCACAGCTCAACGAGAGAGGAGAAGAAGTGGAGGACTGGCAGACATATGCCAGCTAATCAACAAACCAGATGACTCCCCATCTTTTTTCTCCAGGAGATGGCTTTCAACCAGCCGCCCAGACTTAACATTCGCCACGCTAGACTTAGCAAGCAACATACATAAAATGGTGCTCAGCCAACTAGCAGGTAGTGACCACCGACCGATCCTGATTTCTGTTCTAAATATGAGAGGCCTTCATTCGATGCCGCTCCCTCGTTGGAATTACAAGAAAGCTGACTGGAACAGTTTTGCTAACCTTGCTGATGTATACTCGATAAATGTAAACGGCAAATCAAGTCAGGTTGCTAAATCAGTAAAAGAGTTTACAGAAGCTATATTAAAAGCAGCCAAAGAAACCATACCTCGGGGTTCAAGGAAAGATTACATTCCATTTTGGTCCCAACAAATTCAAGACCTCCATCAAACTCTCTCAGAAGCAAGAGATAGAGTAGAAAGCAACCCAACGGTAGAAAACAACATTGCTTACAAAGCAGCAGAAGCTAAGCTAAAAAAAGAAACACTTCAAGCAACTAGGAAGAGCTGGCAAGACAAAACCAAGAGCCTAAGTTTTGAAAAAGATGGGTCCAAACTCTGGAAACTAGTCAAGTGTCTAAATGGAGAAGCCCAACAAGCCAATCCAATAGTAATAAATGAGGGCAATGAGATCAGATCTGGAAACGATGCTGCAAATATCCTTTTGAATCAGTTTAAATCTGTTAGTGATATTAATATCCAGAGATAAAAGTCCAGAGAAGATGAGGTAGTACAAAGAATAAAAGAACTCGAGGAGGCCAGCAAGAGTAAACCAGCAGAGAGCATCATGACAGATAAATTCTCAATGAGTGAACTTAACACAGGACTCAACCAGCTGAAATCCAACCAAGCCCCTGGCCCCGATAAAATCACGAATGATATGTTACTACACATGGGTCTAAGTGCCAAAAAGAAATTATTAAACATCTTTAATGCCAGCTGGATTTTTAGTATAGTTCCTCCAGCCTGGAGGAAGTCTGAAATCTTCGTAATCCTGAAACAAGGAAAGCCGAAGAACAACGCAGACAGCTACAGACCCATCAGCCTCACTAGCTGTCTGTGCAAACTATTTGAAAGATTATTGAACAACCGACTGACCTGGTTCCTAGAGAAAAACGTCACACTAATGGAGGAACAGGCAGGTTTTCGACGTTGTAGATCAACAGAAGACCAAATTACACTTATTGCTCAACACATTGAAGAAGCATTCCAGGAAAAAAAGCACACTATTGCAGTTTGGGTGGATATGGAAAAGGCCTTCGACAAAGTGTGGAAAAATGGGCTGAAACAAAAGCTACTTGAAAGTGGAATATCCCATCACATGCTTGGGTGGATCGTAAAATATCTTGAAAATCAATCTGCAAGAGTCAAGATACAGGGTTCAAGGAGCAGATCAGTCTCAATGACACATGGAGTTCCACAAGGCGGAGTTCTGTCCCCAATTCTTTTCCTAGTTTACATTAACAACATAAAATCAACCCTCTGTAATGGAGTTCAAGCCATTATGCATGCCGATGATCTGGCGCTACTGAGTTCAGAGGAGGACACTGAAAAAGCACAGACAAGACTTCAAGAATCCCCCGGAACTCTAGAGAGGTGGTCCAATAGCTGGTACATGCCTGTAAATGGGGCCAAAACCACACACACCATTTTCAGTCTCTCTACCAAACCCCAGAAAGTTTCACTTAGATATGGCAGCCAGGCACTGATACATGATGACTCACCGTCATATTTAGGAGTAACCTTTGACTCAAGACTCACATGGAGAAAACAGATAGAAAAGACACAGAGCAAGGGACTCAAGAGAACACAACTGATGAGGAAGTTAGCTGGAACAGACTGGGGGGCAAACCTCAATGTCCTTAAGAGGACCTATACAGGCTATGTGAGGCCAACACTAGAATATGGAATAGCTGCTTGGGGCACTGCTGCTAAATCAAATTTTCAGAAAGTCTCAAAGATCCAAAACCATGCTCTCCGTATTATGACAGGGGCAATGCGCTCCACGCCCATATCAGATATGGAAACAATTACTGGTCTCCATAATCTGGAAGATAGGAGAGACACAAAGATCCTCACCCAGCTCTCCAAATACCACCACTTTCAAGAACAACCCATGTACAGCCGACTACAGAAACCCCAGAAGGCTAGACTAAAGAGAACTTGCTTTATTAAGAACGCAAATGCCAAGCTCGCTGTCCTTAAACTCCCTCCCATAATACCAAATGTTCCACTTAAACCTTACAACGACTGCCCCGCTTGGCTTAGGGATAGCCTACCAACAGTCAGAACCACTTAACAGGGGTCTCCTCCAAATCATCAATGAGCAGCACTGATATGAAATCAACTACAGAAGGAGAGATCAATAGACTTTACCCACACCAGAGTTGGATTCGAGTGTATACAGATGGTTCAGCCAAGAGAGCAGTAAGAGACGGAGGAGGAGGAATATACATAGAATGCCCAAATGGTTTAAAAATCAACCAGGCTGTACCAACAGGTTCAAATTCCTCCAATTACAGAGCAGAGGCAGAAGCACTTCTAGCGGCATGTTCTTTCCTGAATGGACAACAGCACAGCAAATATAGCAGAGTGGTCTTTCTGACTGATGCTATGTCAGTTCTACAAGCAATTGTTAACCCAAAAGACACTCAGTTTGTAGACTTGACGCAACAGCTGATTTACTTAGGCTCCTCAGTAGAACAATATGTACTGCAGTGGATTCCAGGTTACTGTGGCTTGGAAGGCAATGAAATAGCGGACAGATTGGCCAGAAGCGGCAGTGACATGGTACAACCAAATAGTGACTTAACCCACCAAGAGATGAAAACACTAATACAATCTAGTATCCAAGAAAGGTGGCTGGATACCCACACCAGATTTTCTCCCCAAGACTCACTTCATCGCCTCTCTAGAGAGGGACAGTCTATTATATTCAGACTAAGGACAGGGCACAACAGATTTCGTCAACATATGTTCAAATTTTTCGGTGTAGGAAACACGGAGACGTGTCCCTGCAGCGTGGCACCCGAAAATGCTGAGCATGTGCTCCAACACTGTCAACCGAATGCTGACAACAGAGACGCAATCTGGCCTGTTCCAACCACAATGAAGTCAAAACTGTATGGTACACAAGAGGATATGGATTGCACGATAGCTTTCATAAAGGCTACCGGCCTCCTGATATAAGTTTTCTGACAGAAGGATCGAAGAAGAAGAAGAAGACTGGCATAGGAACGGAGCAAGTATGAGGTGATTGTCACAGTGTGGGGGGTGTGTACATTTTAAAGAGGGGATAGAAGAAGAAGAGAAGATATAAAAGTAGAGAGAGACAGACGAGAAGAAATAATAGTTAAAGGATGTATAAGAGGACAATAGGTTCTCCTGTGTGGAGAGTGTAGTAATAAGTCTACACCCCAAACGATCAGGTAATAGTCAGTGGAGGTCTTATGAAGGAGAGAGTAGATATATAGTAAAGTGGTGGTGGTATAAAGACTACAGAGACTAACAATATTAGTACCACTCCTATACTCAACAAACTAACGATGGAATAAAAGAATAACAACTAACAATCATGTTTATTAAGAAACAGCATTACAAAGTCGTCTATCTCATGTTACACAACCGACAGATGTTATATTATGTTATAACAGAACGTCCTCACGCTATAAAACTCAGCAACTGACAGCAGAATCCACTCAACGATAAACTAGCAAATGACGCCTAGAATACCCTTCATTGCTCTACAAATAATAAGCCAAATAACAACTACAATCTAGCCATCTACTCTAATGCCAAATACCGACTACCATCTAGCCATACTGCTGATTGCAGTCTAGATACCATCTAACTATAGCTGATTGCAGTCCAAAGACCAGCTAGCCTATTTAGCCAACCCGGCACACCATGACAGAAACTGCCATGTCACATAACATGAAGCAATATTTCGTGCATTATCTGGCAATTCACACAACAGAAGTATGGACTTAGCTCCATCGTAGCGACATGATCAGAATGCCCACAGCATCCTTCGTTGGCGGAGATCTCAGTGCAAGTGTCTCCCTGGCTACTCGCTGGTAGTGTATATACCCCTGACGC